CGATTGAATGCCACACCGATTAACTCTGGCTTCCGACCACCCCTTGAAATGCAATAGCGTTGCTTTACAGTTGAGAATAATTAAAGAATAATAGGTCTTATTAGTGCTAATGAAGAAACTGTTTTGATGAAATGCAATTCGAACTGTTAATCCATTTTGAAAAGATTCACTGAATTCAAAACAGTGTAAATAAAACATCTTGAATGAATAGCTTAACGAATAGGAGCACCTGAATCGAACAACAAAATAGTGTGTTCCATGTTCAGGCAGCGCTTCCCAGGCTCTGATATACTGCAATTTCGCTTCTGTGCAAGATAGATTCTTGACATTCGAATGCGCATCAGAAATGCGTTGTTGTAACTGAAAATAAATCAGTGAAGTGAATAGACGATTATTGTTCAATGCCTTTTGAAACTTGAAAATGAACTGGCTTCCAGGTCAAACGCCATTTGTTTCTAGCACATTCATATTAGAGTTCGTCTCATACAATTAGGAATATATTTGAGTAGTAGAAAACGTACACTCTGTTTCGATCGTGCTCGACGAATGTATCGCTGTGAAACAAATTCATCAACGTTGAAATCTGGTGGCAATTGAACAGCTGGCGATTTCTTCTTGTTCAATCCATTTTGTGATCCGGTACTCACTTCAATTTATCACCAGATTACCAATAGAGCGATTTTAATGGATTTACAAAAGCCACCTTACGAACGGTGTGAATTCACTAGGATGTTCGCTTGAATGCTTTCAATACCTTATAAACGTATTGGAAGAACTTCCTTGTGATAGATTTTAATGTCAACAAATATTTAAGCATTACCTCCGGACTGCATCTGGAGGAGTTTCTTGATCGAGTCAACCTCAGGTTGGTAGGACGCATCAGCCATTGATTTGCCTCTGGAAGCAAGACGACAAGCGGCCATCCAACGGGCATATTGATGCTCCTTAAAACAGGCATCTTTCAAAAGTTGATCAAACTTGATCAGGTGTTATCTCAACAATAGGTGAAATCAGCTGACATGGCATAATGATA